AAAAGTCGTTATGACAGCTCTCCATATAAAATAATCCGTTAGAGATAACTTCGTCAAGATACATAATATGTCAATTCATAAAAAAAAATCACTGGATAACTGTTCAAAAGGCAGTTTTAACGTGTGAAATGCAGTGTCTTTTAAATTCTGTAAGTGTTGCTGAACGTTTGATATGTCTAGGCATCGAATTGAAAACATTTATTCCTTTATAATATAATGAATTTTGTGAAGCACAAGTCAAGATATGTGGTGTTCTTATTTCAACCTCGTTTTTAGTATTATATCTATGAAAGTCACTTCCTCTTTCAATTCGATCACACAAATATCGAGGCAGCAGACCGTTAACTACTTTAAAAATGAACACCATAATCAAATATACAATTCTTTGCTTCACCGACAACCATTATAAGGCGTCTAGCATCAAAGTTGAGGAAGTGAATCTATTGCATCTCAAAATCAAACGCATTATTTTATCCTACAAACGCTGTAATCTCGATATTTGTGTTTCATTGGCCAGAAATATAATTGAAAGGCAAAAGTCTAGGTGAAGAGAGATGATTGATTTGTATAGCTGTATTTTACAGGCAATAGTTAAATCGTTTTCAGTCGACATAGAATTCCATTCTGCTTGGCAATTTTCTTGATGACACTGTCAATGTGAGAGTTGAACTTAAGTTTGTCATCAATAATCACGCCAAGATATTTAATCTCCCGAACGCGATCAATAATCTCATCATCAATTACAACAGAGACGTTCTCATTTACTGGATTCCACGAAATTACCATAAATTTAGATTTACTTGCATTCAATTTCAACTGCTTATACTTCAACCATCTACTTACGCAAATCTTTATTCAAGTGTTGAATGGCATCGTCTAAATCCTTAGCTGCAATGAATAACACAGTATCATTTGCAAAAGATTAATGTCGCAAAATCGTTAAACATGTCGCAAGTCATTAATATACATAATAAATAATAGGGGCCCCAATACACATCCCTGGGGCACTCCAAGGTTATTACCCACGGGACTGGAAACATAAACATTCAAAAGTTGAGTTCTGTCAGACAAATAGCTTCCAAACCATTTATATGCAGTACTCGTAATTCCAAAGTGCTAGATTGATCTTAACCTAGAAATTGTTTCTAAAGCGCGTTTTGGATCCAAAACACAGCAACAATCGTATCTTTACACTCCAAGTTATTTTTCCACTTCGCCAATATCAAATTCAACGCGGTTTCACAAGAATGACCTTCCCGACATCCCGATTGTTCTGGTATCAACAAACTATTACTATTTAAATATTCCAACAGCTGGCCTTTAACAACAAGTTCTAAAAATTTCTCTAATGTGTGCAACATGTTGATGGGAAGAAACTCTTTGGCTTTAATCGTTCCAGCAACTTTTTGAATAGGAACCACTAAGGATACCTTCCAAATTTGTGGCACTTGTCCAGTTTGCAATGATTCATTAATAAGGTCCAGCAAGATGTGGCCAATGACATGAAAGCAATCTTGAATAACTCTAGCTTTAACATTATCTACTCCAGCAAATTTTCCTAATGTAAAACAAATAACTTCAAGTTTAACTAATGTAATTGGGTGAAAAATTCCAAATCTACAACTACTATTAACTGGCTGTTTTATTTCGTCAGGTTTATCGACCAATTCAATGGATTGATTAATCAATGAAACACTGTTGACAAAATAATCATTAAATTTAGATGCAATTACTTGTTCTGACTGTTCTAATGTGCCATTAAAAGCTATGGACCGCGGATTGCAATTACTAGGTTTTAATAAAGATTTCAAAAATTTGCCGAACTCATTGCTGTTGTTTTGATGCTGATCAATCTTCCTTTGAGCATATTCACAACGAGTTTTCTTTATCGATTGTGAATACTTATTACGCGTGATTGTGTACCTATTCCAATGATTATCACTATTCGATCTACAAAACTTTTTGTACCATTTGTCCCTTTTCCGTTTAAGACGCAAAAGATCAAAATTGTACCAGCTGTTCGAGTTCAAAGAAACAAACTTTTGCTCAAGTAGTTGATTGGTACACGTTTTCAAAGCGTTATTAAGAACAGCTGTAGATTCATCTAAGTTAAATCCACGCTCCTCTGAAAAAGATTCGAAACAGCCTGTTTCGAGTATTTCCCCCAGCACTTCAATTTTACTAATTCATCGTTGTTATTGACATTATATGACAATAATCAATGATCGGTTATTTTCAAATCAGTATCCGTAACAGAACAAATGGAATCAAAGTTTGAATAAACATGGTCAATTAAAGTTCTACTGTGCCTGGAAATACGCCTATATTCATCAACCGTTTGTTTTAAATTGAAAAAATCAGCTAAACGCTTCAAATGATTCGAATTATAGTTTTGCCCGCCAATTAATATTAAAATCACCAGCTAATATATTTAATTTACTAGAATCAAGGAATGTCTCGAGCCAGTTCTCTAAAACTTCAACAAAACGCTGGTCACTAGAACTGTGAGAATGATACAAAACACCATACTTACCAATCTTCATGCCACGTACAACTGTAATGCCCAAGAACCAGCAGTGCTGCGTGCTGTCAACAATGTCAGTTGACGTAAGATACTGTTCTAGCTCTGAATTTCACTTCCGACACTGATATTCGTAGTAAGCATGATATCAGGCGGTACGACTTTCACATTAATATCCATATCACATTAATATATGAATATCACTAGATAAAAGTTCCCTCCCCTTGGCTAGTTTTTAACCTGGACGTTGGTGGGCGGGCCTAATATTATGCTTCATAGTGGAGCGTTGGAGACGGTTGGTTTAGGTCCGGCATCGTTGGCTCATGCCGTGGCGTCATGAGGATGCGATGCTTCCCATGCGATGAGGATTACTGAACTTCCCCTCTCTGAATGAGAAAACCAAAGATCTAGTCTAGCAGTGATAGTATCACACTTGTTACTCTTTTGTTTGGTGCGATACTGGCGGGTTTTTCCGCAAATCACTCTTATTTTATTTATTTTTTACGCAGATAGATTTATTTGGGTTTGCACGGAAATTGAACTATTGAAATATTTCAGAAAGTGCTCAACAGTGCTCCTTCTATTTGTGTGACAAGCTTTCATTGTTGTTTTCATTGAAGCATTACTCAGTGAACAATGTTAAACACCATTGTTGTACATGGTATTGTAACTAATCTTATATATGCTTCATTTTGGTTTGGGATAAGTGTTTGAACTATGGCTTTGGATTTCCGCTGTGGCGTGTTTCTATTGTGACATATCCATACGTAATTTTTTAGGCTGCATGTACTGAAATTCTGAGCTTAAAATAGTTTGCAGAACCAATTTTATGCACGTAAAAGTGAAGGGATGTTATTTATCCATACATTTAAAAAAACATATAAACTTTAAGCCAAAAGCGCCAGCTCGTGTTACATCCGAATGAGTTAAAATTTTCTGAGAGTGGTTTTCTCGCCTAATGGCATAAATCTGGGAGTTTATTCGTTGGAAAAAATATAAAAAATCTCCTATATAAATGTGGCCCAGTCTAATGTATACCCTTCTTTGTAAGAAGGATAAAAATATTTTCTCACGAAACGCAATTCACATTTAACATAAACAAAACATTAATATGGGTTCGCAGACTGAAGACTTTACCTATAGACCAACAAAAAGCATGTTTGACTGAACTAAAACACTCGTCTGTTGTGATTGATCATTGGGTCATGATTGACGCTTTCATGTGTCCGTCTCAGAGCAACAAAATTTACCTGTGTTTTTCGTAGTGTGCACAATTTATGCTTTCTACCTTCTGTCTTTCGACCTTCTTCCCCACAACCCCTAGCATGATATGTTTCATGCTTACGGCGGTTGAGGGTCTCTTATCACGCATCGTCAAAGGTCAACAAACACGACCTTCGGGTTATCTCATTCATCAACGCGCTTCTCAAACCCTTCCACTCAACAATGATGACGGACGTATGGCAGCTGCGATAAAAACCAGTCCCGATCGTAAATAAAGCAGAATTGTTATATTACTACTTATATACGCGCAGTACCTACATACATCTGCTTGGATTACCTCTTCATCCACACATACCTATTCCTCGGTAAATTGGTAAACGTCACACCAGGCAGATCTGCTTTTAAAGAGCCCAAGAAGCTCGCCGCATTTTGAAGTTGCTTAAAAGAACACCATGTTGCATAACAGCACATACCTACCTACATATGTTGGCAATCCTACGAGTGCATGCTGTACGTACTGTTGTATGTTGTCTCTTTCCTTTTCTCTACTCAATTTATTGTTGTGCCATTATTTTCGTTTTGTTTTTATGTTCCGATTTATTTTTTTTCTTTATTTCTGTTCGTGTGTTTCTCCTTTTGTGGATTCGTTGAGCTAATAATTCAGCATCTCCTTGTTGCGCCTATTCGATTTCTTGTTCGCTTGGTAGACGTAAGCATCTACCTGCGTGTGCGTGTTTGCACGGAAAGTTCAGCTGATGTTCCAGCGAAAGAAAAAATAGCCTGAAAATCAAAGAAAATTACGCTGCCAAGAAAATCACCCGACAAGAAGCCGAAGAAGAATGCCACATCCATATCTTCCCACTCTCGATCATTCTTTCTTCGAACATACGTTGCTCATACCAAGCCTGCCTGCTTGTTCGATTGGGACGCGGGTAGGTATGGGTGTTAACTCCACCATCAGCCACGTTCGTCTGCTTCAGCCTCGATAATAAACACATCATTAATCATGTTTTTAATAATTAGTTTAAAATTACCAACCGAGAATCGAGAATTGAGAATTGGTTCGTTGGATGTGGGTTCGCGTTTGGAATGGAAAGATTTTCCCGATTATTTGTTCAACTGTAATATCGATTAGATTCCCGTTCTGGCCGCAGGCAGGCGTGATGCTGGATATTTTTTTCCTGGTTCGGTCGGGAGCTAATCTGATTGTACGTTACACTTGTGCTGCGGGTTTTTGGCGGTTCCCATTCTACTTTCAAGCACCCAGCAGTCTGCCGTGGTAATTGCCAAATGAGCTACTGCTACGTTGCTCCGTTGCAATTGGGGAGAACGAATCGGTGGGCTGGATTGGATGCGGTAAATCAGATTTTTTTTTCGGAATTATAGTCCGTCAGAAATAGTGAGATAGTGGCTTTGCGCTTCGATATTTGCTAATTGTGCGAGGTTAATAATAGTACATCCTTTTAGCAATATTAAAAGAAACTACCGTAAAGGCTTAAGATCCGGACACTATTGAAAGTTGATGATCACTGCGTACACCCAACCGGGAAATGTAAGCTTATATTACAGATTTGCATGAAAAAGTATACAGAATTACATTGATTCACCGCATGAACAGATTATGTAATGTGGTCGTCAAAAGGATTTTTAAATAATTTATTAATTTCTATGTTAGCTAAATTTTCGAATAACTTTTGTTTCCCCAAATGCACTGTGGCTAGAAAATCATCTCAGAGGATGTAAGATATTCACACTTACATTTGATGCTAATGTCAATGATTTGCGTGTGCTATGCTTAAAATAGCCCACAAGTTTTATTATAGACTTTTAGTATCGATCAGAATTATCACCCATATATAATATTACATATGTTACAAAATTGACGAATTGTTTAATAAAATATTAAAGGTTTTAATTGACTAACCGTCCGGTATTCGCAGCATAACGGTAGCTCTCTCTCTCTCTCTCTCTCTCTCTCTCTCTCTCTCACTCGCTCTTACAGAAAAAAAATGAGAAATGCGTAGCATAACACTAATTGCTACAAACGCACCCATCGGTTGGATTTAACCAATTTTTCAACCAATCATGCTTCACACCAAAAATTTGTCTTAAATCGACGCTGATTTCCGCCTAATATGACGTCAAATGTGCTAGCTAAGCTTTTCCCACTTTACCCCACATTCAATCGAGCTCATCGGGCTCGAAAAAAATCCAATTCTTCGAAAACACGTCTGCCCAACCATATAAACATACGTGATGATGGGTGCGCGAACGTCATTTTCTAGTCACATGTTGTTGCTGAGTCAATCGTTCAAGTGCTCATCTGCATTGACTTGGATGTTCCAACCATGATGGGCGAAGGATTGCGACAGTTTTCCCATCATATCGGTGAAAAATGCATTCTTTCTTTAGTTTACTCAACCCTAAATCGGAGCTACGCAGAACATACACATAGGAAGCCGGTTCACATCGAGTGACGATCGTTTATTATTCTTTTATCAAATCTTGTGGGGATCAGGTTACAGTTTGGTTATTTTTCCTAGATCCACTGTTTATGGAGTCGGCAGTGTCGGTTAGGAGAGAACAAAAAGGGAGATGAAGGGAACTGGGTCATTTTTTAGATCTATATCAAGCTGCCGATGGTGCGTGAGACAGCTAGAAGATTACACGTGTTGATTATTGTTATTGTTCAGCATATTTCTCAATGTGGTTTTGGAAATTGTTGGTCGTTTCTGCTCAACAGAAGCTCTTGTTCTCTTTTATCCTATAAGAGCATTTTAGTCTGATTGCAATTTAGATCTGTTCAATGGGAGTTTTCTGTGCCTTTATTAGTTTTGCATTCGTACACCCAACCGGGGAACGTAATAAACTATTACAGATTTGCATGAAATGTATGCAAAATTGGCAATGTTTCGCTACATGAACAGTGGTCACCGGAAGGTTTTTAAAATAATTTTTCAATTTTAATGTTAGCTTATTTTTAATTTGTTTCTTCAAATGCATTGCGTCTAGAAAACCATCTCGTGAAGGTTTTATACAAAAATATGTATTCTGGACAAACTTGCTTGAACGATGCTGTGCATTGCTAGAACCGCCATTACATTTTTTGTAAGAAACATATGCAGGGGATGTAATAAATCCAACCTTGCATTAGACATGAAAGAAATATCTTTTGCATGTACGATGAGTGACAAATGTAATAATATACTCAATTCTGTTTTTAAGCGATTTCAATTTTTACGAATTTGTGCTCATGCAGAATTGTACCATAGAGGTAACTCTAAGACCACTGGGTCCCGAAGAAAATCATTATTATTTTTGGCTCACTCAGTACCAGAACAACGGTCCCAAGCAGTCCCAAGCTATTTCACTCACCCCTGCATGTTCTGCATGAATCTACACACCCCTGATGTTATCTGTCAAACTTTCATAGCGAATCAAAACAAACATAGTGTAGTAATAGAATTTCAACTAGAATAGGGTACGTTAATCGTTTGCTTGGGACCAATAGGCTACTAAAGTGGTGAGCCAATTTAAAATCGTTAGTTTCGTATTGATTGTTGATTGTACTGCCTATAATCCCATATCAGTCCCCCCATATGGAAAAAGTAGGCATTGAGAAAATGGCAGTTGAATTTACGAAGTGCAATTCCCATGTAAATGTTTGAAAATCATAGTAAATTAATGGATATTTTTTAGAAGTTGAAATCAGTTACAATGAAGCCTAGCATGCATTGTTATATCAGCGAAAAATATGGTGATCCAAAAAGCAGAACTGTAACTTGACCTCTGGCGATTGAATTTCAGGATGGGACTGATTTGCAATTACTTTGCTTAATGGGACAAACTGACTTGACGTTGTTTTGACATTTTTAATGATCAAACTACGGGCTAACACGTATTATGAAAGTAGATGCCAATTGATAGTGGATAGCGTTGTTATCTTAAAATTGACGGAAATCCATATGGGACTAATATGCGATTATAGGTAGTATATGTTTAATAACACCTGTTTTTTTTTTGTGATTTCTTGAAACGAGTTGCATTAAATTTGGTTGAAAATGTAGATCACACAACCAAAAATATAGGCGAGAAAAATCGAGTAAAAACAGAATTGACCATGGCAATATAAACGAATTTCTCGCTAAGCTCGCAGCACAGTTCGACAGAAGATGATGTTAGCTTGCGCCTGAAACAACACACTGGATGAGAAATTCATTTGCAGTCGGGTTATTCGCAAAAGAGAAAATCGATGAAGATAATCGATCAACAATGATAGGCCCTTTTCTTGTGTTGCGCGAGAATAAATTTCCATTCTCAGTTTCTAACAGATTACTGAGCGAGGGTTAATGCTTCCAAGCAGGTAACTCTGCACAAACATTCGGAACTAACAAAAATAGATCGAAACAAGCGAGAAACTGTAAGGATGGGAAAAACGTTGTCTGGCGTGTGCAACAGGAATCAACTAGAAAGTCTTTTCTGGCTCAGTTGTAGTATCAGTGGGATTACTTTTTCTGTAGTTTATAAATGTGATACTTTCACGTACATCAGGTTAAAAAATTACACGTTTCATGATATAAGAACCTTCCTCAACCAATTACTGCTGTTGGATAGCCTGGAACTGTCTTAACACTCCGAACACGATGCCTCCGGTAAAATGTGTTACGGCCATCTTGCAATGTTTGAAAAATCGTAGCTCAGCCATTTATTGATGAAATTCAAATTTATTGGCCCGATTTGAAACTACATTCTTTAAAGATTTATTCGGTATCAATAGATATAAAACTTATCGATAAATTGCTGAGCAAAGGTTTACCGGAGACATCTTGTTCGGAGTGTTATTCCGTTACAAATGGATGTTTAATACCATTGTTTACACAAGGTACATACACTCTTTTCACGTGGTTAACTGAAAATGTTATCTGAAAGTAACTGCATGGCTGATCTTCTCGCAAACTCGTACATATGACATTGCTATTGATCGGTTGTCCCACTGAATCCCATTATCTGCTCGACCACATTCAGGTGAATAAAGCTTCACGGAGTACGTTTAGCACTCATGGCGATAAATTGTCATGCAACAACAACTCGATCGTATATTGCATGATGTGATATGAGGGGCTCGGTGGCCATTGATCGACCGTTTTTGCTTACTAAAGGGTGATACGGTCAAAATTTGGTCAATATCAACTTGACGTATTTCTTTCAATTTTGCATTTAAAAAACCTGAACACCCCTCATTTTGAAGGTGTGTGTGTGTAGAATGTTGCTCCTATTTTGATTTTGGAATTCACTCTTCAGTTGTCAAATGCCGTCCAAGCAAGAAGAGCAGCGTATCAAAATTTTGCTCGCGCATCGCGAAAATCCGAGCTACTCGCACGCAAAGTTGGCAAAATCGCTAAAAGTTGCCAAATCAACCGTTACAAATGTAATTAAAGTGTTTGGGGAACGTTTGTCGACAGCCAGGAAGTCTGGATCGGGGGGAAATCGAAAACCGGAAGCCGCTGAGACGACAAAGAGAGTTGCCGGTAGTTTCAAGCGAAACCCTAACCTCTCTCTCCGAGATGCCGCAAATAAGCTGGGTGTATCGTCTACAACCGTGCATCGAGCCAAAAAACGAGCCGGACTATCGACTTACAAGAAGGTAGTGACTCCAAATCGCGATGATAAACAAAATACGACGGCCAAAGCGCGATCCCGGAGGCTGTACACGACGATGCTGACGAAGTCTGACTGCGTGGTAATGGACGACGAAACCTACGTCAAAGCCGACTACAAGCAGCTTCCGGGACAGGAGTTTTATACGGCAAAAGGAAGGAGAAAGGTAGCAGATGTTTTCAAGCACATGAAACTGTCAAAGTTCGCAAAGAAATATCTGGTTTGGCAAGCCATCTGTACCTGTGGCTTGAAAAGCAGCATTTTCATAGCTTCCGGGACTGTCAACCAAGAAATTTACGTGAAAGAGTGTTTGAATAAACGTCTGCTGCCTTTCCTGAAGAAACACGGTTGTTCCGTACTGTTTTGGCCGGATTTGGCATCTTGCCATTACGGTAAAAAGGCCATGGAGTGGTACGCCGCCAACAACGTGCAGGTGGTTCCCAAGGACAAGAACCCTCCCAACACGCCAGAGCTCCGCCCAATTGAGAAATACTGGGCTATTGTCAAGCGGAACCTAAAGAAGACCAAAAAAACTGCTAAGGGCGAGCAGCAGTTCAAGGCAAACTGGCTTTCTGCGGCGAAGAAGGTGGACAAGGTGGCTGTACAAAATCTGATGGCAGGGGTCAAGCGTAAGGCCCGGCATTTCGGATTTGGAAAAGCGGAAGCCTAACTGAATATTTTTCC